TGGTGGGCCAGGATGTGCTCCACTCTCTCCTCCTCCCCCTTCATCTGCTCCCATGTGCTCTGATCAGGTATGTCCCTCTCCTAGAGCTGCAGATTCAATGCCATCCTTTGAAATAAATTCTTCCGGGGGGAATTTACACTTTATATAGTGGCTTCTGGACTCCATTTGTGACACTTTTGGAGCCGTCTGTGTTTTTCACTGTTTTCTATGTCTAAATGTCACTCTGGTGTTTCACAGATTTTTTTTTTAACCTACTGAAGATAATGAGAAGCGCCAAGAAATTGCTTTCATAAAATAAAACTTACCCTAAGAAGAAATATAACTGAATTATTTATTCATCATCCATAGAATTAATCTGATTTTCCTTGTTTTTTTAAATTTAGCTCTATTGTCTCCACATTGCTGGCTCTGATGGATGGACTGGACAGCAGGGGAGAAATTGTGGTCATTGGTGCTACCAACAGACTAGATTCTATAGACCCTGCTTTACGAAGGCCTGGTCGCTTTGACAGAGAGTTCCTTTTTAGCCTACCTGATAAAGACGTAAGAATGTAAATTCTGACAAACTATGATGCCTTTTAGCACTAAAAAGTCTTGGTACAATGAAAGTTTGAAGATGATTGAATTTTACATCATGATCTTAAAGTGCTATTTACAAATTAACACAAATTATTGTTTTCAATTACAGTAAAGCTTCCCTAAAATTTTTCTTTAAATTTGTACACAACCTTCAGGAATCATAAAATGTTATTTTGATTTGGAACACATGGCCTAATGAGCAACCAATCCTTAGTTTTGAGTTTTTCAAGGCAATTACTGTACTTTTTTTTTTCTTCAGAGCTGTCACTGCTCTGGATGACAGCTGTTAGTATGCCCCAGTGTAGTTCAGAGGTTAATTTCTCTCATTTATGATGAGTGCACTTGAGCACTCTTAAGTGCAAATCTCTTTAAGATGAAACTAAGTTTCTTAAACTTTGGTTAAAATAGCTTTTTTTCTCATTTTCAGTGTTTCATCATTAAATATTTTTTCTCATATTAGCTGTTAATTTTTTTAAAGAGCAATAGACTAAAATTTCAGGTAATCAAAAGTTAGATTCAAGTCACTCTAACTTGAACAGCACTTTATTTTTATGAATGCAAAACATCTCATTGTTTTTATTTATTTGTAGGCTCGAAAAGAAATTCTAAAAATTCACACAAGAGACTGGAATCCTAAACCACTGGATATATTTCTAGAAGAGCTAGCAGAAAACTGTGTTGGTAAACATTGTTTTAAGCCATTAAAAAATACTACATTCATTTCAAATGTAGTAAATGGTATAAATTATATAAATTATAGTCTTACATGGTTATGTTAAAAGAAATACAAGGTCATGTTTACTTCTCAGCTCTCTTATTTGTGCCCTAATTTTTTTCTCCCACAAACTCTTGGAATATTTGGCAAATTGGCCACCAAGGAATATTGAGAGCAATTTTAGCACACAGTGTAATGCAAGCTCTCTTTTGCTGAACGTTTACCCAACTCTGGTCATCCTATTAGGTAGTCAATCTAATGTTATTTAATTCCATGAAGATGGTGCCTCATCCCCATTGGGCTGGGAGAGCAGAGTTATTTTCTAAAGATCACACAAATGGTAAAAAACTGGAATTTGAACCTAGTCTGCCTGAATTATAAATTCTTGCTCTTGGCTCTAGGCCATACTTGGTATACATGTCTTTCTCTCACAAAAATTGATTGATTGATTGATAGGGGTGGGGGAGTTGCTACTATGAGGAACTCTGGTGGTGCAGAGGTTACAGTGCCCAACTGTTAACTGAAAGGTCTGTGGTTCAAACCGACCAGCTGCTCTTAAGGAGACAGATGGAGTAATCTGCTCTGCCAAGATGTACAACTTTGGAAACAATTTGGCAGCTCTGTTCTGTTCTCCGATCCCTGTGAGTCACAATTGACTCAGCAACAGTAGGTTAATTGCTGTCCTATGAGCTCACTGGGTAACTGAATGGTTTTAGTTTTATTACTCTGAAATGTTTTGCTACTAGCCTGGATTTTTTAATCTTTTAATCATTTTTATGCTAATAGATTTTCTTTGTGGGTTTTTCTATTTGCTTTCTTTGTTGCTTTAGGATACTGTGGTGCAGATATTAAGTCAATATGTTCTGAAGCAGCATTATGTGCTCTACGTCGACGCTACCCACAAATCTATACCACTAGTGAGAAGCTGCAATTGAATCTCTCGTCGATTAATATCTCAGCTAAGGATTTTGAAGTAGCTATGCAGAAGATGATTCCTGCCTCCCAGAGAGCTGTGACGTCCCCAGGGCAGGCACTGTCCACCATTGTGAAGCCACTGCTGCAAAGCACTGTTCACAAGATCTTGGAGGCTCTGCAGAGAGTATTTCCACATGCAGAAATTGGAACAAATAAAGCATTAGACACAGGTATAGCGCTTCATAAACCACTAAAGTTAATGCTCATGATCGGTATGTCTAAGTGGTTTGATATCCTAGAAGTGCTTCTTTATAAAAGATTCTTGAAGGAAATTTAGTTGTGTTTTACTTGATCTTTTTGAAGAAAGCTTATTTTTCATAGATTATCTTTCACTTAATTTATTTTCATTTTCAAGGCATTTTATATTTATTTGTTTTTCATACCTACACAAATATTTTTGGTTCTTGAAAAAACTTAATCAAAGTACATTTATTTGCTAATGAAAATACAATGATATATTTTAAAAAAGAAAATACAATGATATGCTTTGCAATCCAGAAAAATGACTAATGATAGTTTTTATTTTGTAGATATTTCTTGTCCTCTGCTAGAAAGTGACTTGACATATAGTGATGATGACATCCTATCATTGTATGAAAATGATCTTTCTCAGAAATCCTTTGATAAGGCCAAAGAAAATGTAAATTTTCTTCAATTGAATAGGTACATTTTCCTTGTTATAATTTGTGTTGTTATAAATTCATTAAAATTAATTGAGGTGATTTTGAGAAGATACAACTGCTTTGTAAATTTTGTAAAGATTACAGTATCAGAAACTTTGTTGCTATAGTAGAAATTACTGCAAAAGGAGTCCCAGAACTCTGGAGGCAAGTTGTCTTCTGTCACCATGTGCACAGGAATGGGGGGCGGGGTGATTGGTCCCACCTGTTTGCAAGACTTAGGCTTATGAAAGTTCATAATTAGTGTGATTGGAGAGGGAGGGGAAGTGGGGTTTTGGTTGGTTGCTTGCTTTTTTTTTTTAAACAATTCTTTCTTTCAGAAATGCTTGTCACCAACCAATGTCTTTTCGACCAAGAATTTTGATAGTCGGTAAAGCAGGATTTGGTCAAGGCTCTCACTTGGCACCAGCGGTCCTCCATGCTTTAGAAAAATTGACAGTGTACACACTAGACATTCCTGTCCTTTTTGGAGTCAGTGCTACATCTCCAGAGGAAACATGCTCCCAGGTAAGTCATTCACCATTGCTTAGACCGGAAAGCTATTTGAAAGATAATGCTATTTCCAAAAGACAAAATCTAGAGCTGCCTCATTCTAGTGTTTGGTTTCTTTTTTTCCTTCAGTTTTAATTTTTGTGTTTTTGGAATAGAACACATATTCCTCTATGACTAAGAAATGACACATAGTTCATTTCCTAGTCATGGAAGAATATCCATTCTAACCCTAGTTCCACCACTCAACTATCTAGCTGGCCTTGGGAAGGTGCCTCCTTTTTCCTGTTGGCAAAATGGAAATGATACTAGTGCCTGCCTCACAGAGGGCTAAATGAGGGCGAGTCGCACTGACTGCTACTTGGTCAGCACTCATTCTCTGCAGCTTCTGTTTTCTGGTTTTCAATTTATTTTTTTAATATAAAGGTATTTTATATTTGTACGTGTAGCCATATTTACCAGCACAGAAAAGTATGCACGATTTCTCCAACAGTTTGCTCCTTAACTAAATAAAAACAAATTGCTGTCAAAGCAACTCCAGCTCTTGACAACCCACTGTGAGTCACAGAACTCAGCTCCACTGGATTTTCAGTGGCTGGTTTTTTGGAAGTAGGTCATCCATCCCAAGGTGAACTCTAACCTCCATCCAACCTTGTCACTAGTAATCAGCATTAGCTATTTACACTACCCAGAGGGTCTGTTTACTCGTGTCTTGAAATATTTCAAAAATGAAACATTCACAAAACATTTTTAAAAAACAGGATGTGATGTTCTGCAGGAAACATTTTTGACCCTTGATGGTTTTGTTAATTTAGAGAAGTGAAACATTGTGCCAGACTAATAGATCTAGTGTCACTAATGTGCTGACTCTGACTGACCTTGATCTTATTTCTCCCATCAGATGATTCGTGAAGCTAAGAGAACAGCACCGAGTATAGTGTACATCCCACATATTCACTTGTGGTGGGAAATAGTTGGACCAACCCTCAAAGCCACATTCACCACCTTATTACAGAGTATTCCTTCATTTGCTCCTGTTTTACTACTTGCAACTTCGGACAAACCCCACTCTACTCTGCCAGAAGAGGTAATTTATGCTTTAAAAGGAGTGATGAATACCCAAGTAATAAAAACTCACTGTGAAAAATCCCAGGGCTACAGAAGTGAAGAAAATAATAAGAAAAGGATTTCTTCTTCACTCATCAAAAATAATAACCATTGCTAACTGTCCGAGCAGCCTATGTTGGTGCAGTAAGGCTCCGTTAACAGTTTTTCTTTTCATACAGATGAGATCCTATGATGCGTGCTATTTTGCAGTCTTTGTGGTTCACCTGCCAGTATATCTTTTGTATTTGTCAGAATGTAGATCTCATTCCTTTTAAGTGCCGCATGACTTTTTCTGTTGTGTGCCGCATAATTTATTTATCAAGTTCCTTGTTGATAGATAATCTGGCTATTTTCCAGTTTTTTCTCTGAAATTACTGCAATGAACAGCCTTGTATTTTAATTGTATGAGCATCCTGTGAATTTTTCTAGCATCAATTCCTAGAAGTGGAATTAGCCATTGTTGTTGGTAGGTGCCGTTGAGTAAGTTCAGACTCATAGCAACTCCACGGAATTAGCAGTAGGTGAGTCACAAACAAACCAGAGCCACTGCCACTGAGTCCATTCTGAATTATAGTGACCCTATATAGAGTTTCCAAGGCTGTATGTGAATACATACAAACATAGGAACAATAGTGAGGGTGGTGCGGGACCAGGCAGTGTTTCATTCTGTTGTGCACTGTGGGGTGGACCCAGCTCGATGTCACCTTACTACAACAAAATGTGAGTCTTTATGGGTGCAGACAGCCTCATCTCTCTCCTGAAGAGCAGCCAGTGGGTTTGGATGACCCAATACGTAACCCCCCACAGTGCCATTTCTGATCGTCTTCAATTGATCTCTTTGAAGTTTGTGCCAATGTAGACAACTACCAAAGACAACCAATTGCTTCTACCTGGAATAGTCTTTTATCTATAAACTCCCTCAAATGTCACTTTAGAGACGTCTTCCCTACTTGGGTTTCTAAATTGTAGCAATCCTTCTTCCCATCACTCTTTCCTCTTGCCTGGCCTTAGTGTAATTGCTGCCCACCATTACCAATTTGTTTGACTCCTTGTCTCTCCAATCAGAATTTTTAAAAAGCAAAGTCAGATTTTTTTTCTCACCAAGAGTCTATATAATATGTACATTGCAGGCTTGTGTGTGTGTGTGTGTGTGTGTGTGTGTGTGTGTTGTTGAACAAATTTATTGAGTGTTTTTCCAAACCATTGATAAAATTGGATTGTAATACTTAAAACATTATTTATAACAAGAAGATAGATTCAAATATTTTGTTGAAGAAATATTTATTGAGCACTTACTCTGCACTGTATTGTTCTGGTTACGTGGGGAACACTTTCATGGACAATAATAGGCAATCCTAGAACATACATTTTGGTCGAGGGGATACAGACTGAAAAATAAATGAATAAAATATGTCATAAACAAGTATTATGGAGAAAATTTTAGCCAGGGAGAACCAAAAGCATATAGGTAGGGTCACACTGTTAGGTAGCTGGAGGAGGCCTCAGTAAGTCGATGGCATTTGAGCAAAGCCCTGCAAAGGGAAGACAGTAAGGCATGGCATGTGAGTATCTGGGGACAAAGGTCCTGGCAGAGATAAAAGCAAGTGAGCAATGATCGACATATAAACCCTACCCCTCCCCCCCCCACACACACACACACCAGGAGGACGGACAATAGAAACATGGGTGAAGGGAGACAGCACATGGTGTAAGATATGAAACTAATAATTTATAATTTATCAAGGGTTCACAAGGGTGGGGAGGGAGGGGAAAAGAGGAACTGATGATGGCGACATGTACATTGTGTTTGATACAATTGATGTATGGATTGTTGTAAGAGCCCCCAATAGCATTATTTATTTGATTAAAAAGCAAGTGAGCAGCATAGAAAATGAGAATGCCCTCGGCAGATTTGCAATTTCCACAATCCATGAAAAACAAAGCACTGGGAATTAGAATGTGAAGGCATCTGCACTTCAGCACCTGTGCAGGGAAACTGCATTGGAATGTGACAGTGGTTTCTAGCTCAGGGTCATGCTAGGAAGGGGTTTGAAAGAGCCGAGTGGCAACTCTGGAAGGTTGGCTTCCAGCCCCCATGACAGGCAGAGTCATTTGTCCTCCTTTGGAGCTGTGAGGGTGGGCCCAGGAGGATTGGGAGAATGTTCCTCATTCTTGGGTCCAAAAGACATTATAGACACATTGCAATACAGGCCACTTTGTACGTCATCCCTGAAAGCAGAAGCCGGATTTAACCAAAGGAGCATGTGTGGACAGTGAGATGTCAGATGCATTTGGCAAAGGATAGCCCAAGGGTGTCATAACTACACTCATGAACCAACTGTGACAAAACCAGTTAAAGATCATATAAGGAAAATAATCTCATCCAGCCTCCACCCTCATAGGGGAAAACCCTACATCTAACGAGCAGGCACAATGAAGAGGCATTTAGCGAGGTAGATGATTGTGGGATTGTGATCATGCCTCTGAAATATAACCCAACTACCCATCTGGGCTAGTGAAGACATCGAATGAAGTGACGTTTAAACACAAATCAAGTTTTAGACAAGTAGGCATTTATGTTAAAGACGCTTATCCACACTTGTTCTGTTGATCTAGTGCTGAAACAAAGTGGGGGAAGCTCACTACCATCAAGTCGATTCCAACTTCATAGAGAACCCTGTGAGAACTGCTCCTGTGAATTTTTAAGACTACAAATCTATAGAGGAACAAAAGTGGAGCGATGTGGTTTCGAACTACTGACCTTGTGGTCAACATTCCAACTTGGAAATGAAGGGCAGGAGTATTTGAAAATAAACCTCCAGCTAATTTAAAGGAAAGCTGGTAAATGGCTCCGAACAGCTGAAACAATGAATAGACCGTATATACTTGAGTATAAGCCAACCGGAATATCAGCCGAGGCACCTAATTTGATGACAGAAACTACATTAAAAATGTGCTGGAAAACTCGGGTTATACAGGAGTATATATGGTAGTAATTTTTTGAGCAGTGTAACTTTCACTAACAGTCTGACTATTAAAGGACTTGAGAGAGAACATCACATTTTGAGATGAGAGTCCAGTGACCAGTAACTCTTCAGGGGAACAGGTAGTGGGTTTGAGCCAAAAGAGTTGAAAAAGAATGGAATTTTGCCACAGGTTTTTTGAAATATATATATGTTAATATTTCAAAATAACGTTTTTCAAATTTTTAACATCACTCTTTGCTTTTAAAAGTGTTTACAAAGGATAATAAATGACTGTGACTGTTGTTTGTTCTAGGATGGGGCCAAGATGTCTGGGACCACAGGATTATCACCACTTATTCTCATAGCTTAGTTTGGGTTGTGAAAGAGATTAAGTAAAATTAAATGATTTCAACAAATTCTTTAAATAACATCACATGAGCCACTCTCTAAATTGTACTGTGGAGTGTCGAGCTTCCCAGCAGAGACCCTAACTATTGAATTAGAGGGTCAGAGGAAGAGAGATGCTCAGTGAGATGGATGGACACAGTGGCTACAGCAGTGGATGCAGACATAATTGTGAGAGTGGTTCAGGACTGGGCATAATTTTGTTCTGTTGTACATCAAGTTGCTATGAGTTGGAAATGAGTTGACAGCACTTAACAACAATGCATTGTTTATACCTAAATCCAGGATGTTTGAGAGATGTGTTGTTTTTATTTAATCATCTCTTTATTATATAATGTAGATTATCATTAAAAATATGTGTACTATAACTTCCAGCAATATACATAGGTAGTCTGTGTATGTGTGGCACTTTCTTTCTTTTCTTTTTTTAAGGTGCAAGAATTATTTATCCATGAGTATGGAGAAATTTTTAATGTCCAGTTACCTGGTGTAGAAGAACGAACAAAATTTTTTGAAGACTTGATTCTGAAACAAGCTGCTAAGCCACCTGTATCAAAAAAGAAAGCAGGTTAGCTCATATGTCAAGGTTATACATAATAGTTTTTTGAGGGGTGGGGGAAGTAAAGGCTGAATGAATGGCATTTTGCCATCCATTATTTATACAAGTTCAGAACCTCAGAGGTTGATGTTTCTGCTACTTAGAACTATGGCTTCCCATTATAGTGGATTAAATCCTTAAGTCATCCAGGCTTTCCGGTGGTACACAGACCCTTCTTTCTTATGTGCCCTTCCCTAGCATACATAGGCAAAGCTAGCTTTGCCTAACGTTATGGCCCATCGTACGATCTTAAGACTAATGTTATGTGATGATTGATGGTGGGTCTCTCACTGCCCCACAGCTGGCCAATTTATTTGGTAGCATTGCCATGTGCCTCTTTTTATCCTGACTACTCAGTGCATATCTATTTAAGCAAAATAAATGAACTTTTGTGATATATTTTATATATCACAGCTTTTCATTAATTAATAACTAGCAAAAGAAGATATTTTAAATAATTTTAATATTCTTGCCCTATAAATTATGCTTTTTCAAAGTTTTAATAGCCTCTTAGATAATCTTCAAATGGAATAGCAGTATAATGACTTCTGGGCAGTAGCATTCCAACTTACAAGGTGCCAATCCTTTCTGAATGGATAGCTACTATGGTAGCACTTTAGCATTCCAGGCCCCTGGGTTTCTGGCTGACATCAGGAGGGTCATTTTTCACACCCAGCCACCAATTGCACTGAGTCATTGTCTCACTTTTGATGCTATAGAGAAGCATTATGAAAATCTTCTGTTTGTGTGAAGTTTTACAGGCCTTGGAGGTACTCCCAGTGGCACCATCACCTGAGCCAAGGCCATTGACAGAAGAAGAAGTGAAGCATCTTGAAGAACAGGAAGAAGATACATTTAGAGAACTGAGGATTTTCTTAAGGAACATTACACATAGGCTTGCTATTGACAAGCGATTCCGAGTATTTACAAAGCCTGTTGACCCCGATGAGGTATTAATTTAATCTTTGTATTAAATGTGTTCCAAACAATAGTGGTTCCAAATCTGAGAATGTTTTAGTAGTTTGTCATTCTCTGTATACACTGACCTTGTTTGTTTTGTTTCGTTTTTTTACATAGAAACATGCCCTGGATAGTCTCCTAGTCATTAGGACAGTGAGTACAAGAGCCACGTAACACACATTTTCCTTTCCTGCAGAGAATAACGATTAACTTAGTCTACCCAACCCAAACTTTCTAGAAGCAATCTGAGAATGATGCCACATAATATGACTGTGACCTGTGAGTGTGCGCTGGAATATTTTAAGAAGTCTTAATGAAAGAATCAGGACTTAAGTTGACATGGAAGGATGGCATTTGGATGAGGAAAGAGAGATAGGATGTTACTAGGGGTAGAGTTAGCTGCCCAAGAATCGGAATAAAGATTTTTAAGAAAACACCTTAAGTTGAGTCAGAGGTTTCCTGTGCATATGTTGTCAGTGTCTCCATGTTGATTCTTTCTTCCTTATGTTGTCTGGCACTGAAATGGAACTCAAATGTGTTTTATGTTCAGAGTTAATTTAATGATTGGATCATTTGCTTGGATTTTAGGTTCCCGATTATGTCACTGTAATAAAGCAGCCAATGGACCTTTCATCTGTAATTAGTAAAATTGATCTGCACAAATATCTGACTGTGAAAGACTATCTGAGTGACATTGATCTAATCTGCAGCAATGCTTTAGAATACAACCCAGATCGAGATCCTGGAGGTGAGTTGGGGGGAGGGGGGTGGTTGCAGGGAGGGCATGGCACCAGGGCTGCTAGCACATAGGGTAGATTTTTATGCCAATGCTGTTTTACATTCATGAACAATGCTCTTTAATCCTCACAGTAGTCTTATGTCCATTTAACAGATGAGGAAAATGAAGTTCAGAAGTTGTTGTTTTTTTTAAGTATTCAACTAAGAAGTGGCAGAAACAAAATCCGAATACAAGGTTCTTTCATTCCCAAGTCTCTGTGCTTATTGACATAATATGCCCCCCCAATGAGACACAAAGTTCTGAACAACTTAGTTGAAAAGTGAACACTTTTTTTTA